TGGGGGCAGCGGAGACCCCCAACAATGCAGCAGCAGCCGCCGCTGCTGCCGCAGCTGCAGCCTCTGCCTCCCGTCCTGCTCTCCCTCCTTGCCCGTTCAGCTGAGGACTTGGTGGAGGCCGGGCTAGGGGCGGAGGGGACCCCCGATGATTCTACCATAACAGAGAGAGAGAAAGAGAGAGAAAAACAGAGGGAAGAGAGAGAGAAAGAGAAAGAGAGGGGAAAGAGAGAGAAAGAGAAAGGGAGGAAACAGAAAGAGAGAGAGAGAGAAAGAAACAGAGAAAATAGAAAGAGAAAGAGAGGAAAGAGAGAAAAAGAGAGGAAAGAGAGATTAAGAAAGAAACAGGGAGAGGAAAGAAAAAGAGGAAAGAGGGAAAGAGAGAGGAAAGAGGGAGAGAGAGAAGAGAGAGAGGAAAGAGAAAGAGAAAGAGAGGAAAGAGAGAAAGAGAAGAAAGAGAAAGAGGAAAGAGAAAGAGAGAGCGGAAAGAGAGAAACAGGAAAAGAGAGGAAAGAGAGAAAGAGGAAGAGGGAGGAAAGAGAGAGAGAGAAAAAGGAAAGAGAGAGAAGAGAGAAAGGAAAGAGAAAGAGAAAGAGAGGAAAGGAAGAGAGAGGAAAGAAAGAGAGAAAGAGAGAGAGGAATGGTGCTTCTCCAACCAGGCTGGGCGGAGCCGGCAGAGCGACTTTCCTGCCCCCCCTCCCCGGCCAGCTGGATGGGGGGTTGGGGGTCACCACATAAGGAACTGTATTAAAGAGTCGCGGCATTAGGAAGGTTGGGAACCACTGATCTAGATAAAGTATCTAAGCAAATTTGTGGTAATTAAAGATGCTGCCTGCATGAGCAAAAACTCTAAGCAAAAAAATTGGTCTGTGTAGTACTTCTGATTCAATTCCAGGAGTTTCAGTGGAAGACTGCAAATGTAACACCTATTTGTATCTCTTTAATGTAGCCACTCTTTTCTGGGATCTTGCAGCTGTGGCTGCCACTTATCTGCTTTAAAGAGTTACAGATAGGTGTTACATTCCCACCTTCATTTTCAAAGCTCTCTTTGGAACAAATCTCAACAATCAGATTTAGTTAAAATTGAATTGTCACAATCAGGGTCCATCAAGAGAACCCTTAAAAGCTATCTGTTAGATTTTGAGTTCTTCTGAAACATGCACACCTGATTTTACCTTTTGAAAGAGAAATGAGGCAGGAGATCTGTGAGATTAATTGATATTATTCATTAGGCCATGGGCAGTTTTAATTCTTAAATATGAATCAGCATCTTAAAAGTATTGTAATGCATTTTGAACTATAGGCATTCTTTATTATGTCAGGCCATTGTAATTTTGATTACAATTTTAATTATAACTACACACTGCTTACTAAATTTTGTCTGAAAATAGTATGTGTTCTTACGTTATTATTTCATGTACATAGTTAGAGGTTGAAGTCTGCTAAATAAATAATTCTCTTGGCTGCTAGTAATTTCTGGGTAAGAGGTATTCTTTTGGAACATTGATTAGAAGTAACACTACTATATGATAAAGTCTTTTTTGGGAAGTAACAGAGCCCAAACTGCTTTTGACAAACATTACAACCCAAGCCCAGTTAGATGAGTTATTATTCAGAGGTTCCTTAAGGTGAGACATTTAAAAACTTCAATATCGTTCTGAAATGATTTCCTAAGCAACACAGCATAGTATGCAACACATGTTATGAAGACTATAGGATTTTGTTTTGCATTTCTCAGTGATTTGATACATATTTTATTAAACTTATTACTTCTAACTGCTACAATATTTTTAGTTCTTATTCCTTCTGCTCAGATGAGTTGAGAATTATTGTAACAGAACATAATAAAATATAAGTTTAATAGTGCTCCCTTTAGCGGATTTTGAATGCAGCAGATTCCAGAAATAATGGAATAATTCTGGGCGTTCTATGACAAAAAAAGCCCTGATTCTATTACACAAATGTAAATTATGTATTCTTTCAGATTTAATGGACATTCAGAACTAATAATGACTTCTTCTGAATGGTACATTAAATTGAGATTTTAAATCAGTCTCCGTTACAGTCAGATAAATCCATGGTAAATGCATGCATGGAATCTGAATTTTAATAAAACAGGGGTCAGCACTTATCTGTCTATGTAAAACACAGCACCTCCTGATGGCTTCACCCAACAATACATCACCCAATTGTTGTTACCAAGATAGACAGCATGCACAGCTATAGTATCTAGAATCTACTATAAATAGTGTATTCAGAACCAAATTACAGCTAGCCCTGACCCACTAATCCTGAGTTAATTTATTTTCCAAACAGATAGAAAGGTGTGTCCTACAGATGTGAAACTCCAGAAGAACTGTGGCTATCCAGGAATCCCGGCTGATAAATGTGCAAAAAGAAAATGCTGTTTTGACAGCAAACCACCTGGTGTCCCATGGTGCTTTTTTCATATCATTGTGGAAGAAGGTAAGGAACAAGTATCAGTTTCGATGAATGAAACAACCTTTTAAAGGAGACACATGCTAAGATACTTTCTGGCATACAGTACAGTATAGATTTCCATTGTGAGTAGAACTCCTCATTTAATTGCATTTGCTTACAGTACCTTAGAATTAAAATGATGTATGCACATTTAATTTTTATATCAGCATTTTTCCCTGTTTCTTAGTTTATAATCTGCTAGCAGGAAATTTTTTTGGGGGGGGGTATTTTGTATTTCCTTTGAGGAAGGGGAAATTATTATTATTTATTATTTTTAAACTACCTTAAGTCTGTTTTAGGGCTTAGGCTACAGTTTGGGTAGAGATTCCCATCTCAAAATGACAGGGCACAATGTCACCAATTTCAATAATTATAGCCTGGGAATTTGCACATAAAAAAATAACAAAACAAAAACAGGGTCTGCATGGGTTTCCCAGGCACTTTGTCTTCTCAAAACCCAGGTTTCAGATTATTCTAGAAGTTAAAAAAAAAGAGAGAGAAAACATTTTGTTTAATTTTCATTTTATTCAGAAACTGCTATAAACTCCGCAATCTGTGAGCCATTTTCTTAAAACATAGACCAGGGGTCTCCAAACTTGACAACTTCAAGATTTGTGGACTTGAACTCCCAGAATTCCTCAGCCAGCTGGTTGGGGAATTTTAGGAATTGAAGTAAACAAAACTTAAAGTTGCCAAGTTTGGAGACCCCTGACATAGAGCACTAGAAATAAGAGAGAAAAGCTGAAAAAAGCTTGACTCCCCCCCCCCTTTTCTTCCTTTTCAGAGTGTTAAAATGATGCTTCAGGAAGGAGCTTTCACAAAGAGCGTGCTTTCAACAGAACTATTCAAGCACAATGTTATCCCATGTGCTGTAGTAATTTTGGTTTCTGTGATACATTATTGCATCTTAATGAATGCATTATAAATTTGCCTCTTGTGTTGATATCCAGGTAGTAGCCTATATGTGAGACATTAACTTTTGGTAACTGAAAATTTCATTTGGGATGGGCTTCTGTAATTAGAAATATACCACTTAAATAATATGCTATTAAATCATGCAAAACATATTGAACATAATTGTTTGTGCTAGTAGACCATCGAGTATGCTTTATGAAGTTTACTATAAATCCTTGTCAATGATAAAAAGCTTCTGACATCTTAAATAATAGCAGAGAATGAATGAATGAATGAATGAACGAACGAACGAATGAATGAATGAATAAATTTCAGAACTCTCTCTGCTTTGGGGCAGCAGTTTCACCCAATTTGGAAATCAAGAGGCAAGGAGGAAGTTTCTCATGTACTTCTTCAATTACCCAACCTGCAACGTCTTCCCCAACAACCAAGTTCCTCTCTCAGTGTTAGTTACCATCTGCAGAAGACCTATTGTGCAGCCGTGTAAGCAGTGTGGGTTTGTGAGGAAACTGAAAGTAGACCATGCACTGAGTAGCAGGCCCATACTTACATACAGACAACCATCCAACCTCAAGCAGTTTCTCACAAGGAACAAAAAAGAACACGACCATGTTGCCAAAATGGAAACCAGATTCTGCAACACAGCCTTTGTCCCCAAATCTACACCACAACAGCACTATCACAAGCCCCAATAATATATACAAGTACCGTTACAAGCTGTTCCTTCAATGGGATATCTGTCATCAGCTGCCAGCAGGGCCATTCTGTGTTCTACATAGAACAAATGGGCAACATTTGCACAAAAAAATTAATGAACACAAGGACTCAAGCATAAAAAAATAATATCAGAGCCTTCTAATCTCCCAGGATATTCTATAACAAACCTCCAACTTACTGCTTGAGAAAGCAGAGCTTTAAGCACAGAGTGAAAAATTGTTGAACTCATATACATCAAAAGAGTTCACACAATCTGAATTCCCAACATGATTTTTTTAACATGCTACTAATGTTAACTGATGCGTGCTTGCAATCTGTCTCACATGCAAACAGCATTTACACAACCAACTTATCTCCTGCCTCTCTTCCCCTCCATCCCACCCAGTTTAAATCCTGTATCAGTCCAGCCACTCTATGAAGTAGCCTGCCACTAATAACAAATGTTTAATAAACTTTATTAGAAAAGGTACCACCAGGTACCTTTTAATAAAAAGTTATTAGAAAAGGCTCCTGGTTTTTTTTTTTTTTTTTTTGCCTGGAATCTTTGGTGTGTGAATATTCTTTCCCAAGAATCAAATTTTCAAGCTAATTCCTCCAGCACTGAGAGTCCAGATATGCTCTACCTCAAATTTCTTTCCATCTTTTACCAGGGAGGGAGGGAGGGAGGGTAGGTTTGGGGGATTGTATAATGCAATAGGAATGAATGGTGGAAAACTAGGTCTCTCTTCAGATGCTACAGTTTAAAGACAAAGGATTGATTTTGCTCTCATGAGAATGATCCCGCCCCCCAACCCTTCAATTTCAAGTCTTAGAGTCATATAAAAGGTAGAAACCTATCAGAAAGTCAGATATGATCTCCAAAAGTGATTGGGTGGCCTGTCTGATGAAGGAGGACAGCAGAATGGTTAGAGGAGACTTTGCCTTTGGCTGGCTAAATAATGAGCCCCCTGAATCTCTTAGAGGAGTCTGCAGTCAAATCACAGTAAGATCCTCTTGCAAAAGGAAGTTCTGGTGAAAGAATAGAAAATGAAAATAAAAGCAACATTCAAAATGTTCACCCTGTTACTTAATTCTTAATTTAATGGAGTTTGCCAATTATTAATCTTTTCTTTATAGCCGTCTGGATACAATATCATCAGATTTGATTAAATATTTACTGACTTATATTTACTTATTGTAAATATTCATTTTGTAAATGACATTTTTAGAATATATATGATTGTGGAAGATAATTACCGCAAGAAGAACTTGAAAGGTGAAGTGGTGCTAGACACATCCAGAGCTACGGAAAGCCAATGGATGAATGATAAAATGGCAATTTATGTAACATGTTGTGAACATTTTACAGTAATGTAAGAATGAAGTACAGAATTTCTAGAAACCTGCCTCTTGCTGTCAGAGAGAGCATTGTTTTAAAGGATGAGATGAATAAAGACCTCATTATAAAGCTTTCAAGTTCTTCTCAGGAAGCACTCAAAATATTTGTCAGGTGAACTAGAACAAGCAAAGCTAATATGAGAGAGCAATACAAACCTATTACTTCAGCTGGTTCTTCCTCACTTGAGGAACCTTCAAGTGAAGAGCAGTTTTCAGGCATTGTTCCTCATGGCTCAAAAATGGAAGAACAGAATAAGGGGAACAATGGGTTCTTGTGACCACAAACGTATTGGATAATTATCTAAGACGTTAAACAAGATGTAAGAAATGTTGCTGCAATAATCTATTACATATGGTTATCTTTTTGGTAATCTATGTCTCTCTTTTTTTGGCCAATTAGTGGAACTAGAACAGGAAGAAGGAGGGCTTTCTGAACCATATAAATGAGCATGTCTACCTTCATTCTGTGGTGTGGAGCTCTCCCTGGATTTCTGAACACCCACATCAAGAGAGGTAAGTTATATACAATCCAACAATGAATTAGGTGAGCATTTTCTAAGACATTTGATTTGCATTGACAGAATCAGCTTAATCCAATTGGATCGGTTTTATATCAAGAAATAGGTCTATCTTAAATATGCTATGACATCTGTGAGGACCTGATGTTGTTGTTCAAATATTTAATGTATGCCTGGCATAATTTTTCATATATTTGTTACACAAATTGGTTCTTCTTTTCAGATATATTTTTGTCTTGAATTCCTAAAAGACTATATAATTGTGAACTTTATTCTATTTCCAGTTTTTATTTTTGCCATTAAGAAAGTGCAAGTGCCAAGAAAAATTTGCTTTTCTTTCTTTATTCCTTGGCCTTGCTGGATTAAATCAAAAGAATATAAATTCAGTATTTTTGTGCTAGTAATTTTCCTGGGTATAAAAATTGGTTTGCGGTGGGTGCTTATGCAGTCATCCTATGTTCTTCTTCTTGTTCATCTTCTTCTCCTTGGTGAATTAGGAAGTCCAGTGTTTAACTCCGATCTCTGCACTGATGGGCATGTCTTTCTTAGTTCCTCCATCAGCCATACAGAGAATAATGTAACTGAGTTTTTTTTATAGAAATCTTACAAGGGTTACAGTTAGGAAAGTGTGAAGCATTGCAAAATTAATACTTCATTAACACAGCTGAGCTTGAATCAAAACTTACTTGGCAAATTCTTATCTGCAATTACTATGTTTAGTTTTTAAATCACAGACGATACACCACAATGTTCTTATGCCCTCCCTCAGCTCTTCCCTCCCTCCCTCCTTCTCTTTTCTTTCATTGCAATCACACTATGTACCACACCTTCCATATTACCCCAAAGACTATTTAGATGCACATTTTCATATGGTTTCCTTTGTATATTTAGAGGACACATACAGGAATCTTTTAACTCTAAGGTGTTTAAGGGGTTGTTGAGAGTAAGCACTTGGGCATTAGACTACTTCTCTCCCCCTGGAGTTCCAGCAGTAGAAAAGTGTTTGAATACTTTGTAACTTTCTTTGCAGGAATCAAATCACACACAGAGAGATCAATACTCTTGCATTCTTCAATAAATCTGACTCTTGGTGAAGACTGACGTTCAAAATGAACTGCAAATGGCTCTGGTTCCTGACCATTGCTCTGATATTGGGATTCAGCTCTCTGACAGATGCTAGAATACCCTTTAGACCTAGACCACCACCACGTAGACCACCACATAAAGGTAAAGGAGTCCTTGCAGATTTTACCTCACTAGTCGTTGCTGACTCTAGGGGGCGGTGCTCATTTCTGTTTCAAGGGCCCATGAGCCAGTGCTGTCCAAAGATGTTTCTGTGGTCACGTGGCCAGTATGACATCAGAGAGTGCTGCTACCTCTTCACTGAAGTGGTACCTATTTATCTGCTTGCATTTACATGCTTTCAAATGGCTAGATTGGTAGGAGCTAGAGCAAGGATGGGAGTTCACCCCATTGCATAATACTCAGATCTTGAACCAGTATCTTAACCCCTGGGTCATAGAACAACCCTAGATCACCACATAAGCCATCCATCCACCAATTCTAAATGTTTTTATAATTTTTAGACTATTAAGGTGACCCCAATATTTCATTCTGCAATTATGTTCCTCTTCCATAGCATTTGAAAGCCATATGCCTATATGAACATTTCATTACTTTCAGTCAGAGAAAAAATAGGCCTGAAAAGCAGTAGTGACAGGACTGAATGTCATTCTTTATATAAGAATAAGAAAGCAGGGTAGTTATATCACATTTGCCCATGTGACATTGGTACTTCTGGAATTCAGAGGACTCAGCGTTTGGCCCACTGAGCATCCTAATTGCTGACTAGTTATTTCAGCATTCATGAAGGCCAACTTGGGAATTAGTTCTTTTGGAGTTCAAAGGTAGAAGAGCATGACTTCATTTGAGTGACAGCTGTCTCACACAGCAGATGTTGATGACCAAGTCCAAACATGTGTAGAGGGGGTGTGCCCCTTTTTGAGTGTGTTTGTGTGAAATTTGTGCTTTAAGCTTCTTATAGCAGTGAAAAACTAAACTTTTGACTTCACCCACTCTGGATAGGCTCTGGAGGCAGCAAACCAGATGCTGACATCTATTTTACATCCAACATTGAGGTTTCAAGAAGAAAAGTCAAATCAGTCAATTAGATGTCTTAGATATAGATATTTTTTTTGCTTAATTTGGTAAAAATTAAGAGTGATAAAATCAAACATTAGAATTTGGTGGCATTAGCTGTATTATTGTTTAATTTGAAATTTAATCTAAGTATTCCTTCTCCAACCTGATGCCCTTGAGGTGTGTCAATTCAAATGTGGCATCAGATTTGAGGTGAGTGCTCTGAGCTTGGGACACACAAGTTCTACAGTATGCCTATGAAGAATTTTCAGCTGGAAGTCAAAGAAATATTTTAGTGGTATGACTGCCTGCCCATACTTTTTTAAAAACTTGTAGTTCCACATCACTTTGTACTAAATACAAATTAAACCATGTCTATAGATTTGAATTCTATACTTTTCTTAGGCAGGAATTGCAACGTAGCTCCAAGGAGAAGAATTGATTGTGGATATTCTGGAATATCAAAAGAAACATGTTTACGTAAACAATGTTGTTTTCGTACCAGGCCCCGGAATGCAAAATGGTGTTTTTTTCCCAAGTGAGTAATACATTTTTGTGGGATATTTACTTGTTCCTTTATAGCCTTCTTGCAAAAAAAAAAAAGTATTTGCAAAAAGAAGAATGAAAATGGGTGTAATTAAGGAATTTGTTAGCGTGATTTCCTACTACTGCCACCTGGTTTTTATGAGGTTGAGTGAGCTGATGTGGCTGACTTTTGTCTCTGTTGAAATGTTTAAGCAGATGGAAGAAGGGGATACACAGAAGTAGCTTCATGCTTCTTTCAAAGGGTCAGCATAGGCCACTCAGAGCCACTCCGAAATGAGATAGGCAACAGATAAATTTAATAAATGAATAAATATGCAACAATTTAACTAATTTCTTGTTTGCTCCTCTCCTTCAGATAATTACAACAAAATGGAAACTGGAATCAAGAATAATTTGAATGGAATTCCCAAAATGGAAGCAAGCTGGACGTCACATAACAATGGTGTGACATGTTATCTGCTCTTTATCTAATATCTTGTAGCTTTTCTTGCAGGAGGTGAGATATAATAGGCATCTCCTATTCAATAAATCATCTAGCAGGAAATTCAGTTATCCTGCCAAAATATTTGGATGGGGACATATTAAAGAAGTATGGATGCTTTCATATGACTTCAGTAATTTTCCACATTTATAGTATTCTAAAGACATATTTGCTTACTGCAGCCTGACTAAACATTTCTGACAATCTCAGCTCCATGCCTTTATTGTTAAGCTTTGCTATCACTCTGAAATCTCATCTTTTTAGCAATATATGTATGGAACATACATGTGAAAGGTATTAAAACATGATTGAAAAAAAGGCACAGGCTGCATGTTTTTTCAACATACTTGTCATGCCTCCGTCCAAGCCTGACTCTGAGGAAGACATGGAGTTCCCTGTTGAGGCCCGGGAGGGGGTGTCTGTGGCTTCGGAGGACTGTGGGGAGGAGCAGGCTGAGGCAGGCCAGGGCCCTTCAGGTTTGGAACAGGGAAGGCAAAGTTCAGGTGAGGAGCAAGACCCCTCCCAACCTGATCCTAGAGCAAGGAGACCAGAGAGGAGGAAGGAACAATGGAGGCAGGCTCACTTGCTTGTCCCGCCCCATTCCACAAGGCACACCTGGGAAGTAGGATTTAAGGAGACACTGTGGGGTGGGGCATTTGCCGGGAACAAACGTGAAATCTTGTAATCTAGACACTTTGTATTTTGGACCAGTTTGCTTCCTGCTGATCTCTCCTTGCAGTCTGTAGTTTGCAGCTTGCAGTTCGCAGGCAAGCTGGGAGTTAAAAGGATTATACGTTTGCTCGTTATCTGTCTTGCTTTAAGAACAGTGTAAAATTCCCTGGCTGTTTTGTTTGAACTTGTGCCAGCCTATGTGGGGGCTGTTGGGTGAATATTGGCAGTGATTAAAAAGACTATTGCTCTGGCCAGCTGATTGCTTTGCCTCCGTTTGGGGCCCTGGGTCATCACAATACTACTAATTCTCCATTTTCCTCTAGTTTTGCCCTCATTTAGCTTAAAAATTATAAATAACCTTAAAAATGTAACTTAGCTAAGCAGGAGATTCATTCAGATAGTGGCCTGTGGGGCATCAGAATTCCTACCGTGTTTCCTGCAAAATAAGATCTGATCTTATATATTTTTTTTGCCTCCAAAAGAGGCAGTAGGTCTTACTTTCGCGGGATGTCTTATTTTTTTCCTGACACCTGCCTCACCTCACGATGTCGGCACTGAAAGCCCCGTCCAGCAGGAACCTGCGTGGCTGCGTGCCTGCTTCTGTGGCCACTCATGGCTGCTCGTGGCAGGAGGCTGCATAGACCTCCGCACTGTGTCACTGCCATGAGGCAAGGCAGATGGGGGAAGGGGTGGAGTTATACTAGGCCCTCCCCAAAAAATCAGGCTAGTAATTATTTTTGGGGTATGTCTTATTTTGGGGGAAACACGGTATCTTCTGATCCTTGTGCTTCTCTAGCTGTTGTAATAGATATAGGTGGGCAACCTGAGGCTGCATATCCCCCAGCACTGCTTTGCTCATTGGAGTACTTGCAATCAGTGACAAATGGCAAATTTGGCCATTTGGGGATTGACACCTGATAGTGTGAAATTTGGACTATCTTATAGGTTTAAAGGAGGGTAATAGTCATAATGGAGGGACCTCCCTCTCCCATTTTGAAGTTTTCTCTCAAAATGTTAATCTAGCTGTATCCAGGAATGTCACCATACCACAGATGGTATTTTGTGGCCCTTTGGAAGTTCAACAAACACATTTACAAGCACAAGTTAACATTCTAAGAATGGAAACTTGCAGAGAATTCTAGAACAATCCACTTTCCCTCTGACTATTCCAATCCAGACATTCTTGAGGAAGTCTGGCAGTTTTCCTGACGTTACTCCTCCAAACTAGAAGTGAATTTGTGGAATTCAAAAACAGACCTGGGAAACCATGAACCACTTGAGAAGGATTAATTTTTATCCCCAGAATCAGTGAACTGGGCATGGTCCAGATGAAGAATTGAACATTCCAGAATTCTCTGAAACAGTCTGTTCCTGGAACAGCAGGCTTTGCAAATACGTTGGGTGAGGGGAAGTTTAGTTGTTCTTAGCTGTCCTGGAGCATAAGGTGATGGGAAGAGATGCAATAGAAGCAGAACAAGGATCAGCAATCTGTGCAATAAACTTTCTAGTGTGATTTTTTCCCCAAGCTCATGGATAGTGAAGAATAATTCAGTTCCAGAGGGGCAATGGCCCATAGAGTTTTGCAAGACTTGTTTCCAGCAGTGCTGTCTTTCATTCTATAAAAACAAGCTTCCATATTTTCAAAAAGTATATGTCAAAAAAGACCTCTAAACCTAAATAAAAAGAAAGTTATTTGAAGATGACATGTATTCTATACATAATGTGCAAAAATCTACCACTCATGTTCTGTGTTGTTTCTGTTTGCTTAAATGAAGGAGAACATACATTGATCAGGAGCATTTCCATCCTCTTTTGTTTAGTAAAATCATTTTACTCCACTAAGCCCCTTTTTCCCACAGACCCCTTCCATAAACCCATCCTTTTCTTCTTACTGGGAGGTTGAGCAGATAAAGCTCCAAGTACTGTTCTATGTTTTCCCCTTTTTTGCTCCTTTCTCTCTCAGCCACTCCTGGAAACAACAAAGGGGAGGATGGGCAGGAAGGTTCCCCCCCCCCACTTCCTTATTGTGACTTCTTTTCCAGCTGCCAATCACCCACAAAGAAGGCAGCCCATTGCAGCCTCTCCCATCATTGGTTAGGGGTGCTGTGAGGCTCTGACCAGTCTGTGTGAGTGACACAAGGGATCTTTGAAGATGTTATTAAAGCACTGGTCCAGCAACCATAAAACTAAGCAGGTGCACCCTTCTCGCACAGCTTGATGTCTACTTCTTTTGAAGCTTTTCACTGGGGGAATAAGACAATCTTCCAGATAGAAGCTGAGCATTCTTCACTCAGATATATCTACAGTATTTCTGGATGATAACATCTATTGTGTTAATTATGATTCATGCAGCCTCCTGAATTCCAAATATATATATATATATGCAGGGTTTTTTTCTCATAGAACACACAGAACGGAGTTCCGGCACTTTTTTTGGATGGAAACTTGTAGGGTAGGCAAAGTGGGTTGTATGACGTGTGTGAGTTCTGCCCCCCCTTTTTTTTAAAGAAAAAAGCACTGTATATATGGTATGATTATTGAGCACCTGCCCTTTTCCTGTCAGCTTTGGTCTTTTCAAGGATGGAGATTGGCTGAAATAATTCTAATAACAACACTCAAAGTAAAAATCTGTGCCTAATTTTCAGCAATTGATTGTTCCTATGTGTTCTGTGCCCACATTAAAAATAAGCTTATTTTTACTTATTTGGTTAAGAAAAGCACAAGGAAGAAGACTTTTGAGCAATTCTGTTTATACTACAATTTTCCAAGACACTTTCATTTCTCTGTTTTCCTTTCCTCAATTTTTGTAATATTTATTTATTTATTGTTTGTTTGTTTATCTATTAAATTTATTTGCTGCCCATCTCACCACAAGGCAATTGAGGGCAGCTTACAACATTAAAAGTAGTAAAACTATAACAATAAGAATACAAAATTATAATTAAAAGAATACATCTTTTATACAGATATTTTGATTATTTTGATATTATATTGCATTGTTAAATCAGTTATACTTTTTCTTCTGTTACCTTTTGGATCAGCTGGAATTTCCCAGATTCTGGGACAATAGGATACATTCTAAGCTCACTCAACAGTATTTTCCATATTTAATATATGATTGGGACATGGTCATTTTTCACAAGTAAAAAATGACCCTGTAGTTTCTGTTTCCTATCTTCAGTTAAGCTTTGCTATAACTGGTTGCATTTCTCTCTCCTTGATATTCCTAATGCTTGTTCTACTCTTGGTTCTTACTGCCATTTAGGCATCATCCTGTATATTGTTTTAAAGATGCAGCTAGCATCTTTTTCAACTGTCTTTCAATTAGCACTTACCTGAATCATAGAATCATAGGGTGGAAGGGAGCTCGGCGTTCTTCTACTCCAAACCCTGCCAAGACAGGAGTCCTTTTTCAAGTGCCTTTGATTTTTTTTCAAGGATCAAGATCTTTGTAATCAGTACAACTATACATTGAAGAACTAACTTGAATCAGAATAATTTCAGAAATTTACTCCCATTCACCTTACCAAAAGATGAAGAAAAGATCAGTCATGATTTAAGTACTAATAAATAATATTGTTCAAAAATTGAGTTCAGATTTGAAGAAGATTCAATGAAATCTAAATCAAATGAACTTTCACAATTGGATCACTATCTTGAATAATGTAATTTATTGCTTCTTAATAGATCAGAAAATTTGGTGGCTGTGTAGGCTTGTACAGAAAACCTATAATCAAATTAAATCAATTATTCAAATTAGAATGATTAGAATGAAAACACAATTCAAATTCTAAAGAAGATATTTTAAACAAATATTAAAATATTGTAGAAACTATTCTGGGAAATGAAGGACAGAGTTCTGGACACTTCCTGAATAACATTTGGTCTTGCTGAATTTGATTTGATTTAAAAAGCTGGAAGTGTGCTATATCTCAATATTATTGTAACCTGAAACAGATGCAAAATATTCACCAATATGAGTTCCTTTAGAATTTGGTTTTTTATTTAGCATGACTAAATCAGAAGTAAAATTTAAAAAATAATATATATATATATATATATATATATATATATATATATATATATATATATATATATAAAAAATTAACCTAAAAATTGAGGAACGTAGTCTCCTGGGTGTATACATATTCAAAAGATAAAAACAAGCACCAGAAGGTAAAACAATTAAATGTTTAATATATATATGGCTCCCTAGGACACACCATCTACCAGAAGAAAACACGCACAAACCGCTATCTGCACGCTCTCTCACACCACCACCCAGCACAGATCAACTCTGTAGCCAAGACACTCATCTCCAGAACAAAACGCTTAGCTGACGAACAACACCTAAAAACCGAACTACACACTCTCACCAATGTACTAACATCCAATGGATTCCATAGAAATAAGATTACAAACCTAATCCAAAAAGAAACCCCCACTAAAATCCAAGACAAAGAACAAGAAAACGGCAAAGCCCTCCTCCCATACATAAAAGGCACCACAGACAGAATCAGTAAGATCCTCCATAAACACAACATCAAAACAGCATTCTGCACAAACAGAAAAATATCCACCATCCTTAGAAACCCCAAAGATAAAATTGAATTAGAAAATCAAGGAGTATACGAAATCCCATGCACCACT